TTAGTAAAGTTTGACTACATTTATTTCAGAAGCATTTTGGCTGTAGAGCAGTGTTATTGATTTGATCTTTGGTTTAGTTTTATAAATTGGGCTAGAAATGAGAAGTTTCTCTCTTTTGCGCCATGCCTGAGAAAAAACTGTCTTTCCATTTTCTCCAGCTGATGGATGTAATGAATATTTTATTTTTCACCATCTGCATAACTCAAAAATAGGTGAACAGATTTCACTCAACTTTCTTAAAATGCTCCAAATATGGAAAATTTCAGTTTGGAAGAGGAGAATTTTTCAGAAAGGTGGGAGCTTCTGAAGAATAATCTCTGTGCAGCCTGAACTACCATACATGCACACAAACATGTGGTTCAGAAATGTACTGCATATCTACATACATGTTTATTGTAATACACACATGCATATGGACTATTTATATTGACACACACAGAGTCTATGTCTAGATCATGACATTTGATTTTTTTTTTTCAGAAGAATTAGATGTTATAACCTAGCTCCTGGGGTTTGCTTGTTTTGCACAGAGTGTAGGTCGAGAGAGTGCATACAAAGGTGGCTTAATTTATCCCCAAAGGGACAAAGATCAGTTGAGGATCAGTCTAGCAAAGGGTGTCCCAAACATTCCCTCTTTCTGCTACTATGCTAGTTGGAAGGAGTGAGAGTAGCAGGAGTTTTGTCTATTTACCACTAAGTTCTTCAGCGCAGAGACTTTTTCCCTACTATGTACATTTTACAGTGCTTAACACACACTTGGTTATGAACTAACATAACAATAAAGTCCCTACACTGTCTCTATCCCATTGGAGGATTGCCTTTACACTGGGCAATCCTTTTTGGGCAGGCTAGTTTGGCTGGAAGGACGGATTTGGCTGGTAGCAGTGCACAAGTAAATCAGGTCCTATATTCCACTGTCAGAATATGTTTGGGTTTAGAGAAGGAAACTAGGAAGAATTGTAGAACCTCCTTTAAGACAGCCAAGCATAATAGGTCTTCTAAAAGGCTCAGTGCAATCCTTTTTTAAACTGAGGATGGTGATAAAGGGAGGTGAAAGAATGATATTTTCTGATGGGGGTTGGATGAAGGAGATTCCCTTATTGGCAAGCATGTCCAGTGCACTCAGGATTATGGATAGAGGGATGCAGTACTAATAAATAGCTGTCAGAAGTGATAGAATGAGCATCTTGTCTGTTGTGCATACAGAGGGATTTTCTCTTATCCATATATCCAGGTTCTGAGAGTCTGCTTTTAGGTTAAAGTGTAGGTGTGGCTATTCAGAAGCAAAGCTCACTGAAGGGGCTGTAGCTGTCTGTAGAAAGTATGTCTGTCATTAATCAGGCTGGAGATCACTGTCAGAGTTAAGGTAGGTGAAGTGAACAGTCAGTCAGTGGGGGAGAAAACACCTATAGTATTTATAAGGATAGTTCAGGGGAAAATAATTTTTCAAGTCTCACCTGAACATGCAAACAAACATCTTTTTTTTTAAACTTTGTTGCCCTTTCATTACGCTCCTGTTATTCCAATTTTAAATATAAATTAAAATTTATATTTAAAGTATGCTGCAGTCACTGACCATCACATTTAGGAATTATTAAGTACTATTGGGGCATGGTAAAAGGGCATTTTAAAATGAAGTCATATTTTGAAAGAATACAAAATGGGATTGGACCATAGCCAGATGAATTGAACAGACAGAGCTTAAATGGACAAAACTCAATATTTGATACAGCTGATGATTCTACTCACTGAATACTGAGTTAATATTGTGTTAATACTGACGTGTTAAGAGTCATATTAGAATCAGTCACTCAGTTCTGTTGGTACAATCCATTTAGACTCGCTTTGTACGCCCTTACTTCAGACACTAGTGTCCAATTGTGATACCACTGTCATTCCTCTGCAGAACAATAGCAAATGTTCAGGGTCTTGCAGGACTGCTTCCTACTGGAGGAGAAACCAGTGATGCAGAGTTTGTGTATATTCTAAAGCATAAACTTGTTTTAGTTACACATATACGCCAGTCCTGGTACACAGGTACTTAAACAGCATGCAGGCAAAGCCTTCTTTCAGATTTCTCTACCTAGAATTAATGCCCAGTTCCCAGGGAGCTACTGTGACTAAATAATTGATTCTAATGAGAAACTGAGGCAGAAAGCAAATTCTCCTGCTACTTGCAAACCATCAGGACCACTGCCATTACACAAACCCTTGCATAACAAAAACATGCAATTTGGAGGGATAGCTCAGTGGTTTGAGCATTGGCCTGCTAAACCCAGGGTTGTGAGTTCAATCCTTGAGGGGGCCACTTAGGGATCTGGGGAAAAATCAGTACTTAGTCCTGCTAGTGAAGGCAGGGGACTGGACTTGATGACATTTCAAGGTCCCTTCCAGTTCTAGGAGATAGGATCTCTCTATAAATTTAAATTTATAGAGAGATCCTATCACATTATATGGTCCAAAGCGTGAACATTGCACACTAAGAAATGGAACGTGAAAGCCTTTGTGTCACAGTGCCACTTGGTGACCCCTATCATAATATGTAAGAACATTCTACTTTGCCACTCTTTCATCATTTTATTTTGTCTATGCACATGTGAAATTAATAATAATAATGCGAAACCCTTACTAAAGTGAGATCAATGAGGAAGACCCATGGCACAGTGAAATGCCACCTGCCTTTTGCCTTTTTTCCCCTTCCTTCTTGGCTCTGAGTGAATAGAACAGCTATTTCTCGGTTAGTCTCACAGCGCTGACCAAGGTGTCCCCTCCGATCCTTGTGGCTTCCCTTTCCCTGATCTTTATGTTGCGCGCCTATGAAAGCTGCAAATCTCATCCTCTGTGTGTGGATGATCTCATCATTTCCATGTGCTGCTAAAAGATTTAGACTTTTCATCCCCACATGTTGTGTCTTATAGTTGGCATATCAGATATCTGCTTTAACTTTGAACTCAGACACAACAATCTTCTATGTACATAACCATCTCTGGACAACTGATGTGGTACATGTATCTGATGGCAGAATTTAGCCTTTAAGATTTTAACATGTCAGTGACAGTTTAGAGGAAATTGACCAGTTAATATGACATGGAAAGATTTTAAACTGTCCTGCCAGAATATGGTTTAACACCTGATGATGTTTATTATAAAGTGGCTACTCACCAGTTGTTTTTTTTGGGGGGGGAGGGGGGAAGAAGAGGGCTGAGCAATGTTTACGGAACTGTTTCCAGGTTTCATGGAATACAAATTTAAAAAAATGGTTTTCCATGGCTATGATTGAATTTCAAAGCCTTGTAAACATATACTTGCTCAAATCTTGGTCATAAATTGATGATCGTATGCATTACTCTTTGGTTCTTTAGAAGCAGTGAATCCTCAATGCCTATTTCTCTGTTTCTAAGGTAACAGAGAAAGATTTTTTTTTCTTTTTTTCCAGTGAATCAGACCTTGAATATTCAAGACTTCTCCAGCCAGGGAAACAAAGCAAAAAGCGGTATAATCTCAATAGAGGATTCTCTCTATATTTTAGACACAGGCTTGATTTATAGACTAGAGAAACACAAACTACCCTTAAGGCTGCAATGTGAGAGAATTGTGACAAACACAGTTGCAGGTCAGTAGAGCGTCAGGAATTTTTAATCAGAGTCAAATTAAGGAATTACAAAGGCTCACCGCTACTGTCTCATTGCTTCATCATAGGGTACATACAGAATGCAGATGAAGAATGTATTTGATGGGATTATGCACACATTCTAGTCACTGATTGCATTCTGGTAAACCAAATCTTTTTATTTGTGGAACTCTGGCTATCTGGCTTCATGTTATTGCTATTGCCTATATTCGTGTTACCTACCCTTTCCTCCCCAGGACACTTATTACTTACTTCACTGTACTGTACATCAGATGTGAGATGCAAAGCACTAAAGATTATATTTTTGAATATAGTATTAATCATCATTTATAAATAAAGAAAAAAACATATAGTCCTTTCCTAAAAAACAACCATGTTATTTTCATTAATCAAAAACATATGCTCTTATCACAACTGGTTTAAATTAATCATTTTTGGTAGCTGGCAGTGTTGATTCTATTTTCCTCTTACTTTGAGTGCAAGAGTTGTTGCTGTTTTTATTCTACAAATTAAACAACAAGAAGCTGCCAAAAATGAATATTATTCAAATTTAAGTTTTTGTATCTTTTATAAACCATAACTTCATATAAAGTTTCTGGATAACTTCTATTGTTACTAAAAAATTAAATCAAAGGATTTAAACCATCATCCCTTACTTAACAGGAGATGATGTACCTGCTTGTTAATATATACACATCATCTAGTGATAAAATAATCATATTGCAGTTCTCCAGTGCCCTTCATCTTAATATATCAAAGCACTTTGTAAACAGTCAGTGATTAGGCCTCACAGAAACCTCTGTTCAGTTTGATCAGCCTCACCTTAAATAAATGAAAACTGAGGTAGCCAGAGGTTAAGAGACTTGCCCGAGGTCATAGAAGAACTGAGTTTTAAAATTGATATCCAGACATTCTGCTTCCCAGTCCTATAGTCTAACCACTGTCTCACTAATCATCACACAGTGTAACATATGAAATAAAAACCTGGTTTGCGATTTTAATAGTTTGTTAAGGAACTTCTTTCAGTTCTTACTCTGTATGAAGAAAGTGTCATTAACAGTTTATGAGACTTGTATTATTTGACATATTGAAACAGAGTGCTTAGAGTCTTACGTTCTTGGAAAGATGTGAAGAGCATCTGGAATCGGCTGTTTCGACTGCCTTCGTCTGCCCACATACGGATTACCCCAAGACCTGTACGCAGCATCACATCATTAGCAACAGTGCTACAAAATTTAGCTTTTAAATCCTCCACCGAGCTACTTCCATCATAGACAGCCACAAAATTCCTTTTGCATTCATTTGAATTCTGCATTTCATAGTCCAAGAATCGTAAATAGATCTACAAAAGAACAAAACAACAACAACAAAAAAGAACTGTATAAACCAAAATAGGAACAAGAACAATTAAACAGCACTTCTCCCTGTGGTGAAAAATAGACACTTGAACTATATTCAGATCACGACTTTTTTGTTATTAGAGGTGACAAAACACAGGCCACTTTTATTATTTTTGCATTAATACAGTAACTGAGTACTGTTTATTCTTCATCACATTTTGCCTTGTTCTAAAGTCTAGTCCAGAGGAGGTCCAAATGCTTCTTTTTTTGCCTATTCTGAGACCCCCGGCTTCCAATTTAAACTCCTAAATGTATCCCTTTTAGGAGAAGCAAGTGTGTCCTCTAATCATCCAGCCTGATGACAGGTCAGAAACTTCTTCCTGTACTGACACAATATTGCTCAATTACTCACCCAGCAAGAAGAATAATAAGGCAAATACTTGCAGCTCCCTCCAGAGAGTCAATGTGTGTCATCCTTGTGACATGGCTAAGCTCCACTGACTCAGGAAGTGAGAATCTAGAAACCATTCAGAACCCAAACATTAATCTTTTCATGTTTCCTCAAGCAGTCTGGTCACCATCTCGGTCTTTTTCAACAAAGCTCTTATCATTAAGTCAACAGGGATGAAACCAACAGTGTTCCAGAGAAATTAATCTAAAACCCTATGAGGCTTTAATATTAAAGGAATATCTTTTTCTGAACTTTAAGCCATCTTATCAAATGTAACTAAAATAATCATCCTGCCTAAAGAATCCAGTAAATTTGTTTATTAATTTTAAGGAAAACTTATTCTCAATTAAAATGTATATGACCTCCAATAGAGGAAGCCATATTACTGATTTGAGAGCCTTTCCTAATAAATTAAAGCAAAATCAAACATACCAGTATTACAGAAAGTAAATCAGAGGTTAGGCAGGCACATGATATACAACTAGACCATACAGGATAACTAGCACACCTTAGGAAAATATTGAAGAAAGCTAGATTACAGCAGAAATAGTAAAAAAATAAAAATAAAAATCAATCTATACATGTATTTGAACCCAATGATTGAATGTATTCCAAAGCTGCATCTTTATTTTGAAACAAAAACAAACAAAAAGGACCACTCTGACTGAAGTAGCAATCAGCATTACTTCTCTCTCCAATGAACTTTCTGCACAAAAAAATCTCGACTTCAAACAGTTCTTCCCATGAAAAGACAGAAGGGGAGGAGCACGATCTCTCTAGTTTTGTGGCTTCAAGCAAGTATATAAGCACAACTCCTCCCAGACAACATGGAGGAATCTAGATGTCACGGCACTCATGTTTCAAAACTCCTATTGCTTAGAATGAATGGGCACTATTTAACAGCCTCCCACTTCACAGTGTATATTTACAAATCACCTATTAATTTTTTTAGATACTGTATTGGAATCCATTGGTACTTTTTATGCCTGACAAGTAGTCTCTCTTTAGAGAATGCAACAGAGAGTCCTGTGGCACCTTTAAGACTAACAGATGTATTGGTGCATAAGCTTTCGTGGGTGAATGCCCACTTCGTCGGACGTGCAAGTTGGCAAAGACAGTTACCAGCCATACTGTACTGTCTGTTGCTTTGCAAGTTGGCAAAGATGGTTACCAGTCATACTGTACCGTCTGCTGCGGGTCATGGATGCTCCTGGCCGGCCTCGGTGAGGTCGGTCGGGAGCGCCTGGACAAAAATGGGAATGACTCCCCAGGTCATTCTCTTCTTTAAGTTTTGTCTAATGGAGAGTCAGTCCTGCCTAGAATATCAGGCAAGCCTACTAAAGGACCAGAGAGGCAAACGGCCGCTCCGGGTCAGAGCCCCAGACATCCCGCAGAAATGATGAGCTGCATGCCATTCTAGGGGGTGTCCCTACAACAACCCCACCCGTTGCTTCCCTCCTCCTCCACCCCTCCCGGGCTACCTTGGCAGTTATCCCCCCATTTGTGTGATGAAGTAATAAAGAATTCATGAATTTGAAACAACACTGACTTTATTGCCTCTGCAAGCAGAGATCAAAGGGGGGAGGGGAGGGCGGTTGGCTTACAGCGAAGTAGAGTGAATCATCATTCTGCACTTGCTTAGCCTATAGCTGAAAATGGGAATCTGTGATAAGCACTAGGATAGAAGGACAGGCAGGACTGAATCTCCATTTGTGTGTGGGCCTTTGGTCGACACTGGTAAAATATAAAATGTCCCAGGATATGTATGTTGGGGAACAGTTCTAAATGGCAGCTTTATTTTTTTATTTGCAGCAAAATGTAGAGGTCTAAGTATCTGATTGTGAACCCTGGGAGCAAGGGGTAGGTGCGACCGCGTGGTGCTGTCAACTGGGAGAGCAGCCTGAGGCAGAAGCCTCCAGCTGGCATGATATTCCAGGCAGGACTGAATCTCCATTACACAAAACTTAGAGAAGAGAATGACCTGGAGTCATTCCCTTTTTTGTCCAGGAGCCCCCGACCGACCTCACCAAGGCCAGCCAGGAGCACCCATGTCTGCCCAGGCACCCCCGACCGATCTGACCGAGGCCAGCCAGGAGCACCCATGGGACGATGATGACCGATACCAGTCATACTGCACCGTCTTCCATCCGCAAGACAAGGCAAGGGGATGCTGCTGTGTAGCGCTGCAGCACCGCCTCTGCCAGCAGCATCCAGTAGACATACGGTGACAGTGAAAAAAGGTGAGAAACCATTTTTTCTCCTTTGCTTACATGGGTGGTGGTGGTGGCTGACGACATATACCCTGAACCACCCGCGACAATGTTTTTGACCCTTCAGGCATTGGGAGCTCAACCCAGAATTCAAATGGTTTTCGGAGAGTGCGGGAACTGAGGGATAGCTACAGTCATCAGTCGCCCCTCCCTCCATGAGCGTCCATTTCATTCTTTGGCTTTCTGGTACGCTTGTCTCAGCTCCTTAAGTTTCATGCAGCACTGTGTTGAGTCCCTGTTGTGGCCCCTGTCCATCATGGCCTTGGAGATTTTTTCAAATGTTTTGGCATTTCGTCTTTTGGAACGGAGTTCTGATAGAACAGATTCATCTCCCCATACAGAGATCAGATTTAGTATCTCCTGTACGGTCCATGCTGGAGCTCTGTTTTGATTCTGGATCTGCATGGTCACCTGTGCTGATCAGCGCTCCACGCTGGGCAAACAGGAAATGAAATTCAAAAATTTGCGGGGCTTTTCCTGTCTACCGGGCCAGTGCATCCAAGTTCAGATTGCTGTCCAGAGTGGTCACAATGGTGCACTGTGGGATAGCTCCCGGAGGCCAATACCATCGAATTGTGTCCACACTAACCCTAATTCAAACCGGCAATGTCGATTTCAGCGCTACTCCCCTCGTTGGGGAGGAGTACAGAAATCGATTTTAAGAGCCCTTTATGTCAACAAAAATGGCTTCGTTGTGTGGACGGGTGCATGGTTAATTTGATTTAACGCTGCTAAATTCGATCAAAACTCATAGTGTAGAGCAGGCCTTTGTATCCAGTAGTCTTTTACAAGCTCCAGGCTTCTCTTTGCTAGGAAGACTCAGCATATCTGTAAGAGGAGCTATAAACAAGCAAGAGAGTCACCAACAAGCACCCAGTCAGATCTCTACAGGCCACCAGCAGATGACTGTGAATCCTGGGCAACTACTTTTCTTTTAAAAGGCCAGATTGTGAGTGGCTCCTGGCATTCCTGTGGAGCAAGGAGAAGCAAACAAGAATCCTTCAGCCTCCTTGCATGGTTGTGAAGGGCCTCTCAACAGTAGCAGCCCATGTGCTCTGGAAGCATATGCCCCTGCCAAAGTAAGACTCTGGAAAAAAAGGGGTGTGTGGGATAGACAGGGTCATGCCACTTCTGTACTGATGGCTCGTACACTGTGGAGAACAATCTGTCACGTGCTACTGAATAGAGCAGATTGCTCGCCCCCTGTGCACAAGGAGAAGCACAACAGAAACTGAAGCACAATCCCCACCAGTGCTCGTCCTGCACTGGTGTAGTTCTGCATAAACTCCTGCTCAGGATGGAGACGTAAATGTTTATCTTACTTTCCTATGCTCCTCCACCTTAGACGGGTACTATGGCTACAAGTTATGGTAAAGGAGCTCTGATAGGGAACCCCAGAGTGCCTTCATCACATCATTGCAGTTAATAACTATATTTGTACCCCAACTGCACTCTCCACCAGGAAACAGCATTTGAAAGTATGGCTGAATCTTTCACATCAACTACTCTCCCATTCCAAAAAAATACACAGATACATTATTGTAAAAGCTAAATAATCATAGTAAGGCTAGTTTAGGGGTAACAACTTTTATTCCCAACAACAAAATCAGGGGCAATTTTCATCACTTTTACATACTACCATTCTCACAATATGTTGTAACACTCAGTGCAATTTCTTCATCCATTCACTATAGGCATTCACTTCACATGTTCCTCTATTTCTACAGGCTTCTGTTTTAAAGACCTCCAGTGGCCTACCATCCTTTAGCCTTATAAAAAAAAAGTAGCCTGTTTCTGAAAGTAGGTTAATATGGCAGCAGACAAGGAACAAAAAGCATGGTAATGTGGATTTTCACCTCCCTGTTGTTTACAAACAAGCCAACAATCTGAACTTCATAAATGAAATATATTTGTTTCCTAGTCCCAATTCTGTTTTCAGTCACAGGACTTCAGCTCTGGCATTACCGGTGTATCTGGGAGCACAGTTTGGCATAGTAAATATAGATTGGTCAGAAATCAACATTGATGCATTGGATTCAAATAATTAGCTTAAAACTGTATGTCAACTGTGCAAAAGAAAGAGCAGCTCCAAAAACAAAATGCAGATTTGTACATTAAAGCCAAGGAGGACCTGGTCCTGTGAGTTTCCACTCTCAATGACCATCACAGGAGTTGAGTGCATTCAGAACTTCACATGAGGAAACCAAGGCTTGATCCAAAGCTTATTGAAATCAATCAGGGCTGTTCATTTGACTTCAGTTGGGTTTGGATCAGTCCCACAATGCTTCTCAAGATCAAAGACCTACATTATTCAGTGCATGACTAAAAATTGAATCCCAATTAAAAAGACTCTGACAACTTGGTATCTGGTCAGCTAAAAAAAAGAGCTAAAAGTAATCTCAGGTACTAGACCCGCTCCTTCATGCCTCTACCAATTTGTGTTGTTTTATGATTATATATTTCTATATTTCTCTAACCTGATGTGTGAAACACCCACACAAATAGTGGAAGCTGACTAGCAAACTGAATATGCTGGAAGAAAGAGTAAAACTGACTGTGCTATCTAATTCACAATGCTCATGACCAAAAACCCCAGTCAGCAGCAAGATTTTTACTGAACTTTGGGTCAGGCTTAAAGTGATCCAACTGAAAATGATAATTTTTTTCTTATTTTTCTAATCTCATTTATTCTGATTTTAAGTGCTATTTGTAATGCCAGAACATAAGAAACTTTCACACAAAAGTTAACGGAGTCCTTTAAAATAAATGTAAGGCCTGCTCTATCCTCCATTCAGGTTTGGGAGTTTTGCCATTGATTTCAATGTGGAATAACTAGGTTGCTAGTATTTTAAGTAAGCACTTGCACATGACCATATTAAGCATTATGAGGTCTTTTCTTACTTAACAACACAATATGCTATAAAGTAGAAACATAACCATTGTATCTTCTTTTTCCACATTTATGTCAGAAAATGTCAATGAAACCCTTTTCTTCAAACCACCAATTCCATGTTATATTGGAGGGTGGGGAGAAATGTACCAGCACAGTTTTAGAGCATTAGTTTTTACAGAGCATTGAGATGTCGCTGCAAATGCCAATGCTATTAGCAACAAAAATGATAAAGCTTCACTGCAGCTGTGGCATATATAATTTATATCCCCTGATCGCATTATGGTTTAAATAATTGTCTTGTCACCTTTAAGTTTGTATTTTTATCATAATAATGAAAAAAGAAATGTTGGCTAAATTGTACTGTTTTTTATTTAGCTTTGAAAGTAACGGAAAGCCCTGACTGAATATATTAAAGGGAAAGAGAGATTGTAAACTATGAATAATATATAACTTCAGTAAAAAAGTCAGATTATAATCTCTTCATTGTGAATCACTTTTGATGAGTTCTTCTTTTTTAATCATTCACCAAAGGTTTGGTCTGACAATGTGATTGATTAGGCAGGTTAGGAAAAGCTTCAAACCACTTCCCAGAATAACTGCCTTAATACTTGTGTGCAGAAAATCAGTTCTTTATAAGGCACCAAAACAAAGCTCATAATAAAGAAAGTATTTGTTCAACTGCCAAGAATAATGTATGTGAAAGAAAAGCTCCTTTCAGTCTAGATCGGACATCAAAATCCTGTACACCTGTCTCTCTGCTGCAGCTAATTCCCATGGTGTCTAGGTGGTGTAGGTAGGCCTATGCCACTCTCCTGTGCAGCTCCTGGAATAGGAGTGTATCAAGGATGAGGAGGGGTGAGTGGCTGGAGCACTTTGCATTCTGGCTATTCTGAACTGTGGAACAAAACAAAGGCATCGGTGCAAAGCTGCTATAAATCAGAGCAGCATTGGGAGCTGCCCTAACTTATTCTGCAGGTTATGCCAGCTCCAGAAGCAGCCCAGAATTAGTGAAGCACAAATGTCTTTTTTTTATGATACACCTATCAATAACTAATTTCACAGTATGGTGCAATAATCATTTTCAGTCTACACATTCAATATCAGTCATAGCTCTTTATTCTGGCAGAGAATGGGAATCCCGTCTATTTAGTGGAAAACCTGTATTTATATTGCAATTATATGAAAACAACCTAATAAATAGGAGCTTAAAGTGGGTATCTGCAATAATCCTGTTCCATCCTTTGCCACACAACTATTCCAAATTTCCTCCAAACTTTCATTGAATAGAGAAATGCTGCCACGAATCTGTCATCTAATTTTATGTAACTCTTGGGCAACTTTTCATTTTGGGTACTGAATGCCAAATGTTATAATAGATAGGTACATTGTGTTCATTCTGTTCCGTAATAACACACAAAATGATTTATCTCTCAGCTTTCCAAAGTTGGTGTGTACATAGACTCTAGTTTGCAAAGCCTGGACTCTGAGGCAGTTCTGCTGAGGGGGTAGTGCCCTCACATCACTGGTAAAAGACATTTTTGGAACCTCAACTGCTGTGCTGCCTTTAGAAGATGTGTATGAAAATAGGTGATGAGCGCAAAGTTATTCCACTCCAGAAGAGAGGAGAAATGGTGTGCTATCCAGCTGTAATTAATCCAAGTGTTCACTGATGAGTAAGCTGAAAAAATAATGTAATGGTGGCTGAAAGATAAAACAAAAAAAAAATTGTTTACGGTTAAACCCTAACTGAATGTTTTATTACTATTTTGTTTCATTTTAACCATTTTGTTTTTTTTTCTTTTTTAAAACTAGCTAAATTTCAAAACATTGAAACATTGGCTTGAAACTAAAAGTCAAGATGTTTCATTTCAAAAACATCAAAATGAAACATCTTGACTTTGAAAAAAGTCATCAAAACTATTAGTTGAATTCAATCTAAATTTCTGAATATTTTTTGTTGATCTCAAACTGGGTGAATCAACTATTTATCTGAAAAAAAATTGTCCGGCTCTACTGAATTGGGCCTGGACAAATGAGACACTATAATAAAACCAAAGAAGGGACCCACTGGATTAAGGGGGAACATCCTTTGTCTATATTTTATTTGAGAAACAATGACAAAAACATTGACAACTGTGGAGGAAAAGTAAGAATGGGGAGTCTATTCATCAGTGGCTCATTCTCAGAAGTATAGGGCTCAGACTAAAGATATATGAATTTACCGTGGCTCTGTTTTCACTAATTTCTAGAACGACAAACAGAAGATGATACTATTGGATTTGGCAATGTTTTTTAAACATTACATATTCTGACCACATGATCTTAGTGTCAACATAAAGATGGGATATAAAATATGGAAAATAAAGGGATACATCACCTCACAGTTAACGAGCTCTCCTGATTCTTTAAAGCTCAGAGTAAAGACGTGTTGGAGAAAATTACCCATTATGCTGCCCACATTGTTATTTATAGCAAATGAAGGTTACTGTGACAGTGAGGTGACAAATTACCTTCCAATGCTGAAGGAAAATAACAGTTTAAAAGTTCAACACTTAGAAATTGCTAAGCAAGACCCGTGTGTACAAAGAAATATACACCATATTCGTATTCTTAAATTAAGTGCCAAATCAGTGAGCAGATGCAGGACTGACCTTGGATCGTGGTGGTGCTCGGATGTACCATTTACAGTCAACCGCCTCCGTATCAGAAGCTTTTCCTTCCTTCACAATTTGCACAGATTCCACAATTCCTTCAGGTCCTCCCATCTCAAACTCACAAACTGAATAACAAAATACCACAAAAATGAAACCTGAACAGCAAGCAAAAAATATTTTCTACAGCAGAAGGCAAAGTCCTCCAAGTTTTATGAAATATCTAGCATACCAACCTGGCAATGGTTTCAAAACTCCCAGGTCCTTAAAGTCCGGATCTTAAAAATTTAGAAAGGAGAAAATCAGTCTCGTTCAATATTTTGGTTATAACATTTTGTTGAGTTTCATTAGAATATTACAAGCAATTGTGGGAGAATCTCTCTACACTTATTTCCCAGAAACTTTTAAAGACCACAGCAACAATTGATAATGCAAAATGTGTTGCCAGTTTACTATTAAGCTCTTTTTATTTTCCATTATGAAAATCTGCTATAGGCATAATTTTCTTTGTCTCCATCCCAATTTCTTATCACTGAACACGAGAGATGTTTTCAGGATACATCAGTGGGCAAGAGCACCAGACAGCCATCCCTTTGGTGTTCTGATGCAGCAATCTAATGCAAGTGGTTATCTTTCCAGACATTGCACACCGGATCCCTTTGCCTACTTCACAAACCCTTGCACAGCATGGTTACCATAGCTAAAGGAACTCACATATCTGAATGATCTGTGACCCCAATTGATAGTGCACTAGTTGAGCCACTGTCTTTGCCAAAAATCAGCCCTGTGGCTGTTAATAAATAAATACCAGTTTGCCACGGGATACATTGAGTAAACAAAGTTAATGAATATAATGCAGCTTGCTGTTTTAGTGCATACACACACAACTATCTTTAATCTCTGAGAAACTTTGTATCCTATTTATAGCCAAGTGCATGATTTACGTAAAACGAGATTGGTCTCAGCCCTGTGCCCTAGTAGACAAGTGTCCACATTATACAAATCAGCATTTCACAAAGTTTGGCACAGTCGAAGACACTGTTCAAGAGAAGCCCAAAACTGAAATGTGAAAGGACTAAAATATTTCAAGAGAGGATGATCTCTTGAGATCAGATTAGTTATTGTTCAGGAATCATAGTGTATCACATCATCATTCTCCTTGACATGCATATGTCAGCTTCCAATAGGCTGTCTCTTTATTTCATGAGAAAGAAAACAAGAAAAAAAAAAGGTGCGGGTCTTGATATTTTTGTCAAAATTCATAAGATTTGGTCTCCCCAGATTGGTGACAAATACTTATGACACACACTTTGTCACAACTTCTCCTGGACTTTTTAGAATTCTGAGCCACCTTTTGCCCAGACTTCATTGGAATAGTTCAAGATATAAGCCATGATAGAGTTTGAATCTATGTATTCAATAGATTTTATTTTATAGTCTCAGAATTAGATCACTGTATCAAAAGCTTAAAAGCATGAAAAAATGTCTTCAGAAATATGGAAATGCTTTGCAATTTCTGCAATGCCATCTCAACCAGGGCTAGTCCATACAAGGAGAAGAAGAACAAGAAAGAATGTTCAGTATATTGGATCAGTTACGATATATTGGCTTTAAAAATTAAATGTGTAAAATCACCTTGTGACACCATGTGTCTGTACACTTTAGTGTGTGTTTCTGTTCTTTGCAATGATCTTTTGTTGTTTCAGAATATAGGTCTTAGTTACATGCCCATAAACTAAAGGGACTGCAGATATATCTGAGCAGACAATCAGCATTAATTGTTAAGAAGACATTTAAAAAAAAACTCTAAATTTAATTAAACATACCAGTTAATGAATTTAGATACCAGTACCTATAGCTGAAAGCAGGACATTTATATAACTGGAATCTATTTAATTAAACTACAAACTCAACTTAACATCCGAAACCACAGAGTCCTATGTACATTTCAGTTTTCTCTAACAGATGGTTTTAAATCTTCATGGGCTGGATTCTCAGGTCTGCTGAGGCAACTTTAAGGCCACTTTGTGTTGCTTATGTGGTGCACTGTGCCAGGAGAAGGGCAGTAGAGAATTCTTCCTGTACCAGTTAACTCTTGAGTGGCAGAGGTGACTCTGTCACCTCCTGCTCCAGATGCCCCCTCACAACGTAAGGAGGGGAGCAGCATGATGTAGGTGGGAGAGGGCCTGGCAAAGATGAACTCTGCTACACAAATCCTTGTAGGCATAAGTTACGGCTGCCCCTATGCACACACATTTTGCTTAAGGGCTGAGAGGCTCTGAATCACAGAGCAACAACAACTTGCCCGTGGACCCTATCTCAAATGGAGTGGAGACTCAGGTCCAAGCGGTTTTATTCATTTTAATCTACAAGTGTGTGGGGGGGTTATTTGGAATATTCATAAGAAGATTTAAATAAGTTGGGGCAGTACAAGTGTCCATCAAGGCCTCATCAACTTCTTGTCTTCAGTTAGCAACAGGGAGCACCACCATACCCACACATACACCCTTCTTGAGGGTTGCCACAGCTGCTCCCAGAATGAGGGTCATTCTGGTCATATGTTATGTTTGCTGAGGATAGGGGGCAGGCCCTTCAAGGCCTCTCTTGCCCCTCCCCAGAGTCTCTGACAGTTCCATACACTTTTACAGAGGTGGCAAGAGGCAGAAATGTGGCAAGTGGTGATAGTTTCCTAGGGATAAAGTATTCAATGAAGGAATAGAAAATATACTCTGACGAACTAGGAAACAAAGGTTTCAATCTGTAAGCCCTTGACGGAAGCAGAATTGGAAGAATTCTTGTACTTTGAAGATTTCCAAGCTGGAAGGAAAAAAAAACATTTTTCTTTTCTTTTTTCTTCGACCCTCCCCCCCCGCCCCAACTGAACTTCTAAACTGGAAGATAATAGCACCGGTCTAAATGTATCAAGATAAAGTGGGACACTTCTGTAGTTTCTTGATATAAAACTCACTCCACATGCTATTTCACTAGATGACCTTCTCCTGTGTAACTTGTTCTTTCTTTCGAGTGGCTTGTAGATTTTAAGACCAGAAGGGACCATAATGATCATCTAGCCTGATCTGCTGCATAACACAGGCCCAGTAATTTCACCCAGTAATTCTTGTATCAAGTCCAATCAAAGCCAGAGTACAGGCTCACTTGTTCCAACAGGATTTTAATTAACTCATGTGGAAGTTCCTTCGGCTTGATTTTCAGAGACACTGGAAACCTGTGGCTCCCATTGACATCTACAGGAGATGTGGCTGCTCAGGACTTTTGAAAGCTTTATTCTGAAGCTTTTCTGTAGCAAAATAATGAGGTTTGATTTTGAGATTAAAGAAAAACTAAGGTGCTCAAGTGCTACTCCACGTAGGCTCCATAAAATATAAATATTGGATACACAAATACATAATAAATAAATAAAGCAACAACCTAGAATAGAAGTTATACATTATAGATGAGGCTGAAATTTGAACCATGTTCAAACAGTTTGTTATTTGAATAACAAATAGCTAGTAGATTTATTATTTGTTTTTGAAGTAATATAACACTAAATGGCTTATTTTAGAGGCTGCTGTTTATGATTTAATAAAACAGATGGTGCTTGTTTTATTATTAGTTCTGCTCAGTCAGAGTAAAGCAGAGCAGAACCTTTGTTAAGTTATTTATATACTGAGTGGCCAAACCTTCTGATTGGTGACAAACATCCTGTTGCTTGCAGCTGGAGGAAACAATGGGAAAATCCAGGAGGATCTACAAGGCAGCAAAACAGGATAGGATAGAGGAATCATTGAGCAGGTCCTCAAGGAATCAATTCTGAAGCACTTAGAGGAGAGGAAAGTGATCAGGAACAG